CTAATTTATTTGCTTTTCTAGATCTGATTCCCAGACAGGAATCTAATATTGGGATGGCAGGAAGATGCTGAAACGTTAGACTAAGTTTAGTATCTGATTGGCAACACAGATATATATTAAGCAAAAAATGTGTACAGTGACACACACAAATTAAATTTTTTCCACACGCCTCATTGCTACTAGTGAGTGAATATTATGAGTCCAGGAGCCTGGGTGGGTCAGTCATTTGTGATTGGCTATAACCCTATGGTTGGCGGTTGGAACCCACCCACTGGCTTTTCAGAAAAATGCCTGGTGAATTGCATAAACACTGCAGCCAAGAAAACCCTGTGAAGCAGTTCAACTCTGTAACACATGAGGTCCCCAAGAGTCAGGAACTGACCCAGTGGCAGCTAAGTACCACAACAGTGTCTCCAGTGCAAAGTCACAAGTCCTTTTGAGAAAATAATATAGTTCTTACACACAGAAGAGCTAGGAGCTCTGGTAGCATAGTGCCTAAGGCACTTGTCTGCTAACCAGAAGGCTGGCGGTTCAAACCCACCAGCCAGTACTCAGAAGGAAGGTTGGGCAATCTACTTCCATAATGATACTGCCTCGGCAACCCAAAGAGGGGTTGCTATGAGTCGGGTCTGACTCGACGGCACATAACAACAACAACACAGAAGAGCTTTTATTTTCATTTTACCCTCATCATTCCTTTTTCTAACATTTCATGATGCATTAAGCCCTCCACCCCCACTTCGTACTTTTATTAATTGTTTTCCGACAGTACTGAAGCTTCAGGTGTTGGAGGCAAACATCATAGTTGAAAACAGGCATTAAAGTTGAACTTTTCCAGATTGAGCCATTTTGGCCAATTTTAATATGATACATTTAATCAGGTCCATATGCTTCAAATAAATTTTGTGTTTCAAGTATCATCATCTCCTAACATGTCTTTCCAGTTTAAATAGGTATTTACTCCACCACATTTGGCAAAAACATTGCCTCCTTAAGCCTTAAAGTCTCTTTCTCATTAAACTCCTCTGTTGCTTTAGCTCTTTCTTTGAATAATAGTCCAAAATCAGATTATTACTTAGCAGACAAAGCATTAGGGATGCTCTCTATTCAATTAGGGTGAAATGATAGAAACTTTTGATAGCATTATACAAATTGGAATTACATTTTCTGTGGTATCTCCCTCAGCCACATAAACAAGCTTTCAACATTTTAACCCCACATCTCACTATAAATTATCGACATCCTGGCTCAGACAGTTGTTAAATCTAACTCCTGAGCCATTTCCAGGCAACATGTTTGCATACCCTTTGCCATGTTAGGATATCAAGCCTATCTTTTACAAAGAAGTTTCCAAAGTTGAGACTCATGTGAAAGCTATCAGATGACTTACATTCAGAGAGCCCACGTAGGGCAGGACCTGAAGGAACTGCTTTGGTTTGACCACGGCCTTGGCCGCTAACCTGCCTTTAGAGAGGTGCCAGCACCTGGGCTGAGAGTGAGAGTTGCTGTTGTTATTTCCCAGGACATGTATGATGAGTTGATGGTGACCATTGGCTCCCGGCGGAGTGGGCTGAACCAGAATCTTGCCCTCAAAAGTCAGTATGAGAGGGCCCTGCAAGATCTGGCTGACCTGCTGGACACTGGGCGAGAGAAGATGGCAGGTGACCAGAAAATCATCGTGGCTTCCAAAGAAGAAGTCCAACAACTGCTGGACAAACATAAGGTAAAAAAAAAAAAAAAAGAATGAAAGAGAAAATTAAAGGGAAAGCGAGGTCTGTGTGAAAGGCATGTTCTCACTCCCTGATGCATATTTAATGAAGCCTGATACTCTCCATATTTTATAAACTTACATTTGTACATGTTACTCTCGACAATCGTCAGCAAATGTATCTTCAAACCCACTGGCATTGAATACCATGGAGAAATTCTAAAGATCCTTTTTAGTGAATTAAAATTTTGTAAATTAAAAAAGAAAGTCTACCTCACCAGTCATTTTAATGATCCATTCCTCACTGCTATTAGACAGGATTTCTTGCTTCAAAAACTACAATCAAAGGGGAACTCTGACTCATGTAAAGGAGCTCAGCTCTGTGCCCAAGTCTGCTTCTTTCTTATACATCCTATACACTCACCTGTTTGTCTAGTTGTAGGCATTCTCCATGCTTCAATTGTCCCAGCCACAGACTCCCCACTGTGTTATGGGAAGGCAGAGCTGCCCACTCTCCCTCAGTTGGGCCTGTGTCTGTTACTGGAACCTTCAGCTCTTTTGAGAATTAAGGGAATTACATATTAAGGAAGGTTGGGCAATCCTACTTCCGTAGTGATACTGCCTCGGAAACCCAAGGAGGGGTCGCTGTGAGTGGACGGCAAATAACAACAACAACAACAACAACATAATTGCTATAGGCATCAGAGTTTCTTTGTAATGTAAAAGACTGCATAATCACACTTGGAAACCCACATGGCCCTCACCCTATGTATGCTGAAACCCAGCTCAAGGCAGACACTATTCCTTAGTAAGGATATGTCAGTTAAACATACGAACAGTAACTCTTGCTTTATTAGCAGTGGTTCTGCAAAGTGCAATTCTGCCTCCAGAAACGCAGCCTTCCAGACTGTGGGAATTTGCTGCAGGGAAACTTAAAAAACCCATAGGGTTATAGATGGTTAACATCTCCTGCCATTATGTAGACCTCTGGTGACTTATAAAGGTGGATTTTTTTTTTTTTTTTAATTGTGTTTCATGCTGTTTTTCCCAGAGGTTTTTGCCCAAAAGTTTATGATTTATTAAAGCCTTATCATTTGGCTTCAAAAACATTGCTTTCAAGCTCACAGCTGGTTTGTCTCAAGTTCTTGTGCATAGTAATAAAAGCTCATTCTGAGTTATTCCCAAGGGAAAACTAGGATCAATGAGTATAAATAACAAGGAACTAAAGCTCAATGGGAGAAGAACTCTCAAAAGACCGGGCTGCCGCTGATGAGATGATGGCATTGCCCATGAGATGTCTGGCGAGTCTGTTGGGGAGAATCTCAGCTTGGGGTGGAGGTTCCAGTTAGATAACCACCATGATCTCTTCCAACTGTGAGATTCTATGAAATAACAATTGGCAGTTAACAAGAATGATTCTAGCTTCTGACCACACCGTTATCTGAGAGGGACTCCACTGTGCAGCTGGGATCACAGATACACAAAAACCAACCCAGTGGCTGTGGAGTCCTCTCCACTCATGACAACTCCATGTGCATCAGAGTAAAACTGTGCTCCGTAGGGGTTTCAGTGGCTGATTTTGCACAAGGAGATCACCAGGCCTTTCCTTGTAGGTTCTTCTGGATGGACTCACACCTCCAGCCTCCTGATTGGCAGCCATGTGTGTTAACTCTTTCCACCATTCAGGGCCACATTAACAACAAAAAACTCCCTTGCCACCAAGTTGATTTCAAGTCTTAATGATCCTGTAGGACAGAGCAGAACTGCCCCATAGAATTTCCAAGGCTGCAGTCTTTGTGGAAGGAGCACTGGTGTCACAGTGCTTAACACACTTGGTTGCTAAAAGGTTGGGAGCTGAAAACCCCTAGCTGCTCCATGGGAGAAAGATAAAGTAGTCTGTTTCCATAAAGATTTACAGCCTTGGAAACCCAATGAGGCAGTTCTACTCTGTCATACAGGGTTTCCATGAGTGGCAGTGGACTCTACAGCAGTGGGTGGGACTCTTTACAGCTGCACTGTTGTTATTGTTATTTGCCATTGAGTCGGCCTCGACTCATAGCGACCACTAACCGGATTCAAATCTCAGTTCTGCCTCTACTAACTGTTTGACTGTGGACTTGTTACATAAACTTGATGGCTCCATGTCCCCATCCATTGAGTGGGAAATCCTTGTTACAAGGATAATGAGTTAATCAGGTGGTAAAGTGTTTAAGGAGTGCCCAGCAAATAGTAAGTACACAGTGAGTACCAGCTATTATTGTAAAGTCCCAGACCTTCAATTTTCTAAATGGGGTTGGGAAAAGGAAGTGTGATAGACACCATCCTCATCCTCTGGGGCCTTTTACACATGAAAACTAACATTTCAAGAACCTTTATGGGGTTACACAAGGAGTGCAGTTCTGTTGTGGGTGGCTCTGATAGGAAGGAAATGAAAAACGATGTAATAGCAGTGGTGCATGCCCAGCTCTGCTCGAGTGAGTAATCAGCAGAGCAAATGCCCTGGGAGTTCAGAAGCTGGGCCCCAGTCCAGCTGTGGAGGAAGCAAAGCCATTGAATGTGTCAGATGAGGACAGAGTCTGAGCACAGGCCCTAGATGGGCCAAGGGAGCTGATGTGTTCAAGGGACGATGGGGCCAGTTTGTATGGTGGGGTTAGTGAGAGATGCAATTGGAAGAATATAGCAGGCCAGATGTTGAGAGGGCAACAGAGCTTTTTAGCAGCTGGTAGCTTACAAAGAGCTTCGTTTTGGGGAGGCGGTGTATGTGGCACAGCAGAGTGAGGAGACCAGAGCCCCCATTCTCTGCTAGAAGTGAAGAGCCCCGGGGGTGAGGTAGAGGGAGCAGGAATGGGATGGCATCTCTCCTGTCTTCACAGAGTTCTTGTCAGCCTTTGCCCTTGAAGCAGTTTGGACAGGAGGTAGTAGATAAATGAGTTGCTGACCTCTTTCTACTTGAAAAATTGCAGGAATACTTTCAGGGCCTGGAATCTCATATGATCTTGACTGAAACCCTCTTCAGAAAGATAATCAGCTTTGCAGTCCTAAAGGAAACTCAATTCCACACAGAACTGATGGCTCAGGCTTCCGCTGTCCTGAAGCAGGCTCACAAGAGGGGCGTGGAGCTGGAGTACGTTCTGGAGGTAAGACTGTCGCTATGACATCCTGCCTGCTGCAGACTCCCTGTTGCACAATGGACCATTAAGGCAAGACATGCGCACTCAGGCCATTGGTCTCGTGTCACCTTGGAGCTCGCTGTCTCTGTGACTCAGCACTGAGTTCTCCTGTTCTTCTTTGTGACCTTGTAGCTCTTGTGGTTTGTATCCACAGTTGGATATGCGCTGTGCCGTAGTGAAGTCAGCTCGGTGAATACTGACTTCAGACTTTGCAGCGAGAGATGTTGAGTCTTGGTACTCTCATGCTAGCCTATTTAAGAGAATGAACAGTGTAGAAACCTATCCCTGGGTCTGTGCAGAAGGCAGTTGCTCTTAAAATAAGAGCTGTCACTAGGGCCCGGCAGCCAGAACTAAGCCCCCTAGGTCTGAGCCTCTGGGATCTACAGGCTGAAGATGTAGAAGTGTAAGGAAAGAACTTTGGACTTGAGGTTTAAAAACCTAGGTTCAGATTTAGAAGCCATTTGCCACTGTTCCACCTTGCCATGAAGTTACAGTCTGCACTCTCCCAGAAGGATGTTGTGAAAATCCATTAGCTTCTTTCGTCATCACTCTCATTCTATCAAGCATCCATTCACTCAGCATTTACCAAGCTGCCACTAGTTTGCCAGCCACTATACAAGGAGCACTATGTAAGGAGCTCTGGTGGTACATTGCCTAAGACATTTGACTGCTAACCGGAAAGATGGTGGTTAAAACCCACCAGCTGGTCCATGGAAGAAAGATGGGGCAATCTACTTCCATAAAGATGTACCACCTCAGAAACCCAATAGGCATTGCTCTGAGTCAGAATCGACTCCATGGCAGTGAGTTAGGTTTTTGGTTTTTTTTAATACAAGGCACTGGAAACCTGACTGTGCCTAGGACCCTGTCCTGAGACACCATGCAGTCTGGGGCAAGAGTGGGGCTAGAGGCAAACGACGAAAACTCAGAATGCAATGTGGAAACTTTTACAGAGAAGCAGACAGTATTTGGTATGTTAGCTCTTATACACAATGTCTTATACATGAGAACAAGGGATGTCATCTGTAACCAAGGCCCATAACTAGAACAAGATTGGCCTGTGGGCCAAATGTGGCCCACTGTCTGTTTTTATTTAAAAAAAAAAAAAAAAAAAAGTGTTGCTGGAACATATATGGGTTTATCATTAATGCATTATCTGGCTGCTTTCACTCTACAACACAGAGCGAGGTTATTGGAGCAGAGGCATATGGTCTGCAAAGCTGAAATTATTTACTATCTGGCCCTTGACAGAAGTTTGTGAGCCCCTGAGCTAGTGCCCTAGAAGCAGGCACCCTGATGGCACAGTGGTTAAGTGCTTGCCTGCTAGCCAAAAGGTCAGCAGTTTGAAACCATCAGCCACACCATGTGAGAAAGATATGGCAGTCTGCTTCCATAAAGATTCAAGATACCAAACCAAACTCACTGCCATCAAGTTTATTGCGACTCATAGTGACCTCCTTTGGGTTTCTGAGGTGGTAAATCTTTACGCAAGTAGATTGCCCAATCTTCCTTCCGTGGAGTGGCTGGTGGGTTTGAACTGCCAGTCTTCTGGTTAACAGTCAAATGCCTTAGGCACTCTGCCACCAGAGCTTTAGAAACCCAATGGGGCAGTTCTACTTTGTAGGGTCACCATGAGTCAGAATGGACTCAATGGCAGTGGCTTTGGTTTGTCTTGGCCCTAGAGTCAAACAGACTTGGCTTGAGTTCCAGGTTCACCACAAGTATGTGACCTTGGTCAGAGTAGCAGCTCGATGGAGGCTTACTGATAGCTCTCAAAGCCTGTGTAAACCTAAGGCATCACACAGAACTGTCCCCTCCTTTCCTTAGGAACTAGCTCACTCGCCCAGACTGCTCCTTTTTTCTCGTTCTTGTTTTCCTTGAAAGTTTCCAGAATTACAACCATCTCTTCTTACTCAAATCCCTCTCCCCTTTCTTATCTCCCTTTCTTGTCTTTCCCCACTGACATTATCAGCCCTACCAAGATTAACTGCTAGGAGCTCTGGTAGCATAGTGCCTAAGGCACTATTAACCAGAAGGCTGGTGGTTCAAACCCAACATCCACTCCTTGGAAGGAAAGTTGGGCAATCTCTTCCACAGTGATTGTTGTTGTTGCTGTTATGTGCCATTGAGTTGGACCTGACTCATAGCGACCCCTCCTTGGGTTTCCAAGGCAGTATCACTACGGAAGTAGATTGCCCCATCATCCTTCTGAGGAGTGGCTGGTGGGTTTGAACTGCCAGCCTTCTGGTTAGCAGTCAAGTGCCTTGGGCACTATGCTACCATAGCTCCCTCCATAGTGATACTGCTTTGGAAACCCAAGGAGGGGTCGCTATGATTTGTGTCTGACTTGACGGCACAACAGCAACAACCAAGATTAACTAGAGGTCATATTTACATTTCACTAAATGTTTTCTTCCCTGGGCCAGTATTATCATAGCTAGCTAGCCCCTCAAATTCCTCAGACATGGAATTCCCCAGTGAACTCTCATTTTGGAGAGACTTTTATCTTTAATGCTTGAAACCTTTGTGAGAACAGTAAGTATTTATTGATATGCCAGCACTCTGACCAGACTTCGATATTGATATTCATGTCTCTCTCTCATCTTCATCTAACCCTCGAAGATGGTGGTGTGAATCTCTGTTTCAGAGATGAGGTTCAGAACCACTTCTTACCAAGGCACATGACTACATGGTGGCAGAGTTAGGAATCAAACCCATGTCAGTCTGATTCCATGGCCTGAATGGGTGTTTCTCACTGGGGCCCAGCTGAGCACCTCATCTAACGCACAGCCCAGCACGCACACGTGGGCATACTTTCTGCCACCCTCAACTCCTCTTTTCTTTCCCAGATCACTAAACCAAAAACCCAGACTGACTGCCATCTAGTAGATTCTGACTGAGTGACCCCCTTTGGGTTTCCAAGTCTGCAAATCTTTATGAAAGCAGACTGTCTCAGCTTTCTTCCACAGAGCAGCCGGTGTGTTTGAACCACTGACCTTTTCTGGTTAACAGCCAAATAAATGCCTTAATCAGTGCACCACCAGAGCTCCTTCCCAGGTCACTAGCACTTTCTAATATACCGTACAAGTTACTGGTCTTTTTAAGTCTATTATTGATCATCTGTCTCCTCTCACTAGAATATAAGCCCCATGAACATAGGGCTATACTTTCCTGTACAACTTGACTTTTAAACAGTTTTAGGTGTACAGAAAAATTGCACAGAAAGCATAGAAGAGAATTCCCATATGCCCCTCTCCCTCTGTACAGTTTCTCTCAATAGTAATGTCTTGCATGTGGGTGCTGAATTTGTTACAATTGATGACCCAATGCATAGTATTAACTGAAGTCCACAGTTAACTCTTTGGGTTGTACACCCCTGTGGTTTTGACAAATGCTTGTGGTCATGTATCGACCATTGCAGGATCATGCAGGATAGTTTCGCAAGGCAGTGATTGTTGTCTGTTTTACTCACTGCTAAATCTTTAGGCCGAGAGTAGTTCCGGCAATAGATTTTGAATAAATATGCTGGTGAAAGGCTGGGTCTCAACTGTTATGCTTTTTGCCTCTCCAGCTGCACACTCAGATGAGCACATACACATACTGAAAATCTTCTGACCCTTGAGATAAACTATCATTAAAAAAGACTTTCCACTCAACTTGAGGCTCAGCCAAGCAATGGGCAGGCCTGGTGAGTGAGTGATAACACACTCCTTACAACAATCAGCCGGTCCAGATCAGAAGGCAGCATTTGCCCAGGGATGAAGTTCAGAAGACAGGAGGGGGTAGGACACAAGGACAAAGGGAAATAATTACCACAGGGAGGCAGTGGGAAGAGTGGTGTTACATTGTGGGGACTGCAGTCAGTGTCACAAAACAAAATGTGAAATGTTCAGAGGAAAACCAATCCCTGTAAATTTTCACTCAAATCACAAGAAAAAGTTAATAGATAAATAAATAAATAAAAGACTTTCCAGTTTAAAATGGAAAAAAAAAATCTGAATTTAAGAATAAGTAATTTGAGTTTCTCCTTCATAGAATGTCTATACCCTACATACATGTTTTTAATGTCTCTGTTTTATTTTACAATATGATGTATTTACTTCACTTGCTGCGTGAAATGAAGCAAGCAGGCATGCACATGCCTTTTATTTAAGTCACGTGTTTGTCATTCCCGAGGTATAGAATGAAATCAGTGTATAGGTTTCCCTCACTATCCAAAAGTAGAGTGTTGCTATGAAAACTTGTGTAAGCTGAGATGCTGTAAAGTGAAGAACCAGTGACCATTAATTTATATGGGAAAAATGTTTGTTCCCAGACCCAAGAAATAGCCTACTAAATCATGCCAAATTATGCCTGAGCCAAAAAACAGAACTAACATAGAGTGACTGCAAGAATGATAATGGTGAATGCACGGCCTACAGAAAGTAGAAATCAAGAGTGTGCAGTGCGGCTCCTGGGAAGGAGCTTGCCGATGCCACTCTGGCTGGGTGGGGTATGCACGGCCTCTTTAACGGCTCGCTGCGAAGCACACACAGAATGGTTCCCACCTTTTTTTTTAAATAAAAGCAAAAATCCTCTTCAGATTTCTTTCAGTTAGTGGAAACAGGTACTAACGCAGGACTTTCTTAAAAGTGAAGTGGTGGAAAGTGAACTTTTGAAAAGTGGGGTATACCAGTTCATCTGATACCCGCTGTGTTCCAGGTGTGCAGCGTGAGTGATTCCATTTAATCCTCATAATAGAGAAGATCATTATCATGATCCTCATTTTTTAAAACTATTTGTTACTTTTGAAAACATAGACAGCAATACACCAATTTAAAAATTTCTACACGTACAGCCCATTAATATTGATTCCATTCTCCAAATTGTTCAACCATTCTCACCTTCCTTCACCAAATTATTCATGTTCCCCCATTAACATAAACTCACTGCCCTTAAGCTTCCTATCTAACCTTTTGAGTTGCTCTTGTCAGTTTGATCCCATTTGATAGTTACTTGCAAGAACACAATGCCTCAGGCAAACGTTATCTCCATTTTTGACATGTTGATAATGAGATTCAGAGGAGTTTAGTAACCTGCCCACACTCTACAGCCAGCCAGTTAGTTAGTTGTAGAAGCCAAAGTCCACTCAACACTTGTCAAGATTACCATCTCATCACTTCCTTCAAAGCCATCTTTCACTTCCCAAAGGACATCTCCAAATCCAAAAACCCCCCATAACTGTAAAGAGAATCTGTGAAGTGCATATTTTGCATACCAAGATGAATACCTCCCCCTAATGAGGATATTTTAGCTCACATTCTAAACATTGGATTTCTAGACATGGTCCCGGCTGGATGAGGACCACCAGGAGCTCAGCAGACAACTGGAAGTGGTGGAGAATAGCATTCCGAGCGTGGGTTTGGTGGAGGAGAGCGAGGACAGGCTCATTGACCGGATAACACTCTATCAGGTCAGCATGGTAACAGCATCACGGTGTTAAAACTGCCACATTTCCTACGGGGAACTTTCCAGTAGTTTCCACAGAATCTAAACAAACTGGTGATTAAGTATTTTATTAAGTGCTTACATATATTTTTTCAGTTGTTTATATGGTTGAAATTCACAAAAGAAGATAGAGTCCTTGCTTTATAATGCGTTTAACTTTTTTTTTTCTTCAATGAAAGCTCTCCTTTTGAAAATTTAGCTTCCACCAATCATTTTCTATACATAGGCTGATAATTGCATTAATCTTGAAATAATTATAATTTGACAATTTTAAAGGCACCTAAAGTTACTACTATTTCTAAATAAATAAAAGCGAGAGAAAAATCTATACTTGAATGTGACATCTCACAATTTTCAGTATTCCTTGGATGCACGTAGTTCAAGTTTGAGGAAAGGATAATGGGAACACAGTAGGCAGTCAGTACATTATAATCCTAAGGAGAAAAATGCCACTACACAAGCATCTAACTGAATCATTTCAATTCTTTTAGCATTTAAAATCCAGCCTTAATGACTACCAGCCCAAATTATATCAAGTGTTGGATGATGGAAAACGCCTTCTGATATCGGTGTGCTGCTCAGATCTGGAAGGCCAGCTCAGTCATCTGGCCGAACACTGGCTGACCAACACCAACAAGGTGGCCAAGGAACTTCACAGGTTGGAAACGATACTGAAACACTGGACGAGGTAACATAATGATCATTTTCCTATTTTTAGATGAGTGATGCAGAGTATTTATAAGATTAGTAGGTTCAGGATTGAAAAAGAGATGTTCCTGCAAGGAACTTACTGTATAGTTTGGAAAATAAAGATAAATGCAAAGCCCCATTTGGATTCTGTACAATTGTGTAAACATATTATTAAAAGTGGGCAAGGAGCTCTGGTAGGGTAGTGCCTAAGGCACTTGACTGCTAACCAGAAGGCTGGCGGTTCAAACCCACCAACCACTCCTTGGAAGGAAGATGGGGCAATCTACTTCTGTAGTGATACTGCCTTGGAAACCCAAAGGGGTCGCTATGAGTTGGGTCCGACTCAATGGCACATAACAACAACAAAAAGTGGGCAGGGAAGCTGGTTATCACGTAGTTATCTTTCTCTCTTGCTTGTTGTTACTGTTGTTTTGTTGGGTGCTGTCAAGTCGATTTCGACTCGTAGTGACCCCATATGACAGAGGGGAACATCCCCTAAGGTTTTCTTGGCTGTAATCATCACAGAAGTAGATCACAGGGTTTGTTCTCCTACAGAGCCACTGGGTGGATTCTAACCTCCAACCTTTTAGTGAGCAGCTCAGCACTTAACTGTTTTGCCACCAGATCTCTTTGCCTATTAACAACTAGGTATGAAAATGTGTATTAAGGAGGAGATTCCCCAGGACAACAGGAAGTGTCCAGGGGAGGTGGAGGGCTGATCTTCACACGGTTCTATTTCTACACCATCTTTCTTTCAAAGAGCTTTTATAACCATCAGTCTGGTTTTGTTTTTCAAAAGTGCCTCAATATGAAGGAATAGAAGAAAGATTTTTTATTTTCAGTTTAGAGATAGGAAAGCTAAAACCAGAGAGGCTGACTTAATGAAGAAGTAAATATTAACAGAAAAGAATTTCACAGTGTCAACCTAATACGTTTTTCCCCTAAATCTAACTTGTCTCCTGTTTTAAAACCATTGGCATTGGTGAATGGTGTCAGTTAGCAGAGAATTGGGTATTTACTTAATAGATTAATATACTTACAGATATCAGAGTGAATCTGCAGCTATAATCCATTGGTTACAATCTGCAAAAGACAGGCTAGAATTTTGGGCCCAGCAATCTGTGACAGTCCCACAAGAATTGGAAATGGTCCGTGACCATCTGAACGCTTTCCTGGTAAGCCTGAGAATCTAACACATTTTATTCTATTTTATTGTTTTTAGGACTTTAAAAATAACTCCTGACCCATAAAATAGTAACAGGAAATCATCCATCAATGGATATACTTAATAAAGTAAACTGTAATAACTTGTCAATGGTGATTTCCAATGTGTGTTCAAATATTATTTTAAATAATACCACCTAACTGTTCAACCCTTCCTCTTTAAAGTAATTCTTGGGTCATGACCTCTGAGTTGGCTTTCATTCGAGCCCACATTTGAGCATGTTCTTCTTTTGTTTCTCTCCGCAGTGCTCAACATAACTCCTCCTGAGATCTAGAAAAAAGTACTGTATGCGATCAGCTGGTCTCTTTGCTTAAATGAAGCATCTAGTTACTTAATTCTGATTTAAGCATTAATACTTGTTTCAGGAGTTTTCTAAAGAAGTGGACGCCAAGTCTTCCCTGAAATCATCAGTTCTGAGCACTGGCAATCAGCTTCTCCGGTTGAAGAAGGTAGACACAGCTGCCCTGCGCTCAGAGCTGTCCCACATTGACGGCCAGTGGACTGCTCTGCTGACAGAGATTCCCGTTGTACAGGAAAAGCTCCACCAGGTATAAAAGTGATTGTCAGTTTAATTAGTAGCAACTGATTTCAACTCTGTTAACTCTAAAGGACAGGGATCTGATTTTGCTCACATTTAATCAGCTTTGCTTGGGCTGCTTCTTGCTTTCTCTCTTCCTTGGTGTTGCCTATGAACTGGGACTGTCCTACAAAGCCTACCTCGGATGACATTTCCTCCATGTCTGGGGCTTCTTTGTCATGCAGGCTGTGTGAGCGCACACGCATGTGCATGTGCAGATGCTGGAATCTTTGTCTGGTCTTGTTTAAACTTCTACTTTCTCATGGGTAAAATGTGGGTAATTACACATTCCTCATAAAAGCCAGTAGTTACGAAGATTTAGTAGCATAATATATTTAAAAGACCTATCATCTTACCTACAATAGAGCAGCAGGCATTCAATAAATGTCAGTACTCCTATTGTCTGGAAATATGCCTCCCTCCTCTGAGTGCCCAGATATGTTATCTCGATGTCTTTGACAGTCATCACTGTGTACCAGGCACAATGGTTGCTGTGTTTAATGTGCATGACTCATCCTTCCTAACCAGCATCTATGCATTCCTAGAGGGCAGGGACCACATCGATTCATCTCTATATCCTCAAGCACCATGGAGACGTGGATCTATAAATATTTTAAATGACTGCTTTTTGTTCCTCCAAATGTGTATTCCTAGTAATTATCTGCATAAATGTTTCGTATGTTAGGTAAGATTCCAAATTCTAAGTATATTTTAGTTCAAGGCTGAAGAAATTGGCTATGTCTTTAGAAATAAATATTAGAGTGCCAAAAATCTAGAAAATTAAAGCTCCTAGTGTGGTATTTTTCTTTCTTCTTTTAACATTTCTGACTCACAATACACAGAGATTTTACAAGATAATTAATAAAATACATCTGTTGAATGTTTTGTCATTAAGTTCTTTTTAACTCATAAAAATAGTTATAAAATAAGAGTAATATTTTCTTCTCCCTGGTGTTTTGATTAATTAGTTAATGTTTATACAATGTTTATAGTATTGGATGTCAAGGGAACATAAGATGACTCTTATTGTTATTCCATGTTTGCCTAATGTTTAATTTCAAGCATCTAATGGGATTGAGACCCAAAAAAAACATTAGCAGGTAACATCTCTGCTGCTACATTAATCAGAATTAATGTAGGATTTTTATCCTAGCAGAATTGGGTTTGCATTTTAACCCTTGTGACTTGCTCTATCTCCTACTGGGACAGCTCCAGATGGACAAGCTGCCTTCACGCCACGCCATTACTGAAATCATGAGTTGGATCTCTCTAATGGAAAGTGTCATTCAAAAGGACGAAGAGAACATAAAAAATGCCATAGGTTATAAAGCAATTCAGGAATACCTCCAGAAATACAAGGCAAGCAAACATTTCGTTTTTTAACTATTCATATTTTTTAATCACTTTCTTGGAGAAAATCTGAAAAGTCAAATTATGGACATCAGATCTTGGAATTTATGGTCATAGGTGTCTAGCAACAAGAACATTGCATCCCTGCTTATAGGCAAAGAAAACTCATCCAGTATTAGAAATGATACTGAATAAGATTTTGTGCAATTTAGAAAAATAGTATAAATATTTTTATAGTGAGGTTATGCAACTTGTCAGATTCTGCATCCTTTACTTAGGATATAAACATACACATGGATATAAATCAGTGTGTGTATATGTTGCTCTTTGTTGTTGTCAAGTTGATTCCGATTCATGGTAACCTCATGTGCACAGAGTAGAACTGCTCCCTTGGGTTTCCAAGGCTGTGTGGAAACAGATCACTAGGTCTGTCTTCCAAAGTGTTTCTGCATGGGTTTGAACCACCAACCTTAGCTATTAGTTAAACACTTAACCACTTTCAACATATATGCATGTATATGTGTGTGTATGTGTGTGTGTATACATGTTGTTGTTGTTGTTATGTGTCGTCCAGTCGGACCTGACTCATAGCAACCCCTCCTTGGGTTTCCAAGGCAGTATCACTACAGAAGTAGGTTGCCCAACCTTCCCTCCGAGGAATGGCTGGTGGATTTGAACCTCCAGCCTTCTGGTTAGCAGTCAAGTGCCTTAGGCACTATGCTACCAGAGCTCTTTGTGTATATACACATACATATAGTGAAAAAAAAAAAATAAGCCATTGATTCTGACTCATAGTGACCCTGTAGGACAGAGTAGAATTGTCCCATAGGGTTTCCAAGGCTGTGCTCTTTATGGGAGCAGATTGTTAGACATCTTTCTCCAGCAGAATGGCTGGTGGGTTCACACTGCTGACCATTCACTTGCAGCTGAGCACTTAAGTGCTGTGCCACCAGGACTCCTTATACATACACATATACATATTTAGAGAGAGGGTCAACTTCTGAAAATCATCTATGTTAATACTCATATTGTACCATTTGGACTAAGTCATGGATGTGATAATATTAATAGGTAAGGTTACTTAAGGCTTTCTAACTCCCGATAAAATAATAAGACGTTTATATGTATGACCTTGGTTTGTTCTCCTCCTCTCCTTTTTCAGGGTTTTAAGATAGACATTAACTGTAAACAGTTGACAGTAGATTTTGTGAACCAGTCTGTGCTACAAATCAGCAGTCAGGATGTGGAAAGTAAACGGAGTGATAAGACTGACTTTGCTGAGCAGCTTGGCGCAATGAATAAAAGTTGGCAAATCCTTCAGAGTCTAGTAACAGAAAAGGTAAGCCAAGTGGCCTGCTGCTGTCTCTGCTTACATAAAAATACCAAGAACACAGGCCTCCTGTGTAGCATGAAATGTAAAAATGTAGAAAAACCATTTCACATGAAGTGTGACTCTTCTGGGCACTTGCATGCTTCCGAGAACACCACCAAAGCTATGCCATCACTCTAAACTGCCCTTAAAACAACAACCAAACTCTGCCATCAAGTTGGCCCTGACTCATAGCGACCCCTCCTTGGGTTTCCAAGATGGTATCACTATGGAAGTAGATTGCTCAACCTTCCTGTCCTGAGACCTGTTAATTACTGTTTCTTACGGACCCTCTGCTCTTAGTTATCTTTTATGTTGTCTCAGGTTTTAAAAAGTCCTTCTTAATTTATTTTACCTTTGCATCAGATTTACTTAAGTTCTGCATTTGCTTACCAATAATAGTCATTGATTCAGACTTCATACAATTCAGTTGTACTTTTTTCATATATACAAAAGAATGGATCTTAAGAATACTTGATTTGGGAAAAAGCCCAAGTGTCTGTCAGTCAACGAATGGATTAAAAAACATCTGGTCTATACATACAGTGGAATGTTACTCACCGACGAAGGGAAATGAAGTTCTGATGCACAGCAGAATGTGGATGCACCTTGACAACATGCAGAGTGACATAGGTCAGACACAGAAGGACAAATACTGTGTGACCCCACTCATATGAAATACTTAGAAGAGACAAATGCATAACAATACAGGTTCCTTAGTGGCTACCAGGAGCTGGGGGAGGAGGGAAGTGGAGAGTTAGAAAGGGAGACTGAGTTTCTGTTTAGAGGTGATGAAAAACATGTGAAAATGAGCAGTGATGAAGGTCTCACAGCACGGTGAATGTTATTCATGTCACTGAATTGTACACTTAAAAACGGTTACAGTGGCAAATGCTTTGTAATATGTTTTTTACCACAATATACAAAAAAGATTCTTCAACTTAGAGAAAATAGTGGCTAGAGTCATTAGCCTATGAATGATTTGATTTTCAAATAAAACTGCAAATGTCATTTCATTACATTTGTCCAGATCCAGCTGTTGGAAGGCTTATTAGAATCTTGGTCGGAACATGAAAATAATGTACAGTGTCTGAAAACTTGGTTGGAAACCCAGGAGAAGAAACTAAAACAACAGCAGCAGATTGGAGATCAGGCTTCAGTTCAGAATGCATTGAAAGTCTGTCAGGTAACCCGGCCAGGGCGCTCCCTTGCGTGGTTGCCTGGTGCTGGGATTTGCAGACCCTGAATGGAGAGTTAAACACTAGGGGGAGGAGTGGGGGGGTTTCCTGGTGCTGGGATTTGCAGGCTCTGAATGGAGAGTTAAACACGGGGGGGGGGGGGGGGGGGTTGGTTAGAACAGATTGCTCTGATTATGTGAATTTATAACATTTTTTAATTTGTTAGATTTTTTCACCTGTTTTTAAAACTTTGAATTTAAGAATATTTCCAGACACACACATAAGTATACTGGTCATGAGATTGAAAACTATCAAGATTTTTACACATTTGCCTGAAATCTTTCTTTTTTACTTCTTAAAGATTTTATGGTAAATGCCAGATACCACATCATCATCTCTAAAAATTAACATTTTCTTATACAACCATAATATCATTATTACCACTAAAATTTTAATAATAATTCCTTAATATGATTTAATGTTCAACTGATAATCACATGTCCTCAGTTACCTTTAAAATGTCTTTTTTCAGTTTATCTATTCACATAAGGAAACAAACAGTGTCCACATCTTACATTTGGTGGTTAGGTGTCTTCAGTCTCATTATTATTATTATCCTTAGTACTGTTACCTGTGGCAGTAACTGTAGACCAGACCAGGTTCAGCATTTACCTGAGTACTTCCTTAAGATGCTGTTTAACTGGCTCTCTCTCCTCTCTGCTTCCCATGAGCACTCGAGATTTGGTTGGATTCGGGTTCAAACCTCATGGGTGAGGGCTTTGCAGGTGACAGTTTGAAGTTGCCATACATCACATCAGGAACCACAGTGTCTGCTTGTTTCACTGTTGGTGACAAGGGTTGGGGTTCCTGGGGAGCTGCTATATTCTGAACGTGTTCCAGTGACTTGGGAACACAGAGTCTTTCACCAGTCATTCTGGTCCATGCAGAAGAAAGAGAGCAATGACAGATAATGCTGTGATAAAGATGTTTAAATAATTCAGTGATCTGTAACATGCTACAGATTATGAGGCAGTTCTAAAAAAAAAAAAAAAGCACCTTTCCCCAAAATCTTGTTTTTATTCCAGATTTCAAGAACAAAGGCCTCTGGCAATGATCTCCCTCCAATGCACATATTTTTCTGTGAGGGCAAAAGTGAAGAGAGACACACTGAAATGCTCTATCATAGCTTTTAGGTTCGGAAAAGGAAAGGCAGATGTCCCTTGTACTGGATGCCTTAGCTAATGGACTACAATTTTGAGAGCACATAAAAATGACAAAGGAAAACATCAAATTGGAGAAATACTTTGACCTAAAAAATGCCTCACATCAGAAGATGAGTGTGGAAAAGATTGAAAACCACAAACATGCCTCAGCTACACTCATTGTGTTTCCAATTTTCCAGATGCTGGTCCTATTTCTAAGTCAGGCCGATAAATTCTAAACTCTACAAATAAGCTAGGATTTCAAAGTTTTCCTTTGAAGAATGAAAAAATCGTACCTCCTGATGAGTTCTTCAATTAAAATGTTTCCGTTAAAATGAAAAGATATTTCTAAGTGTTGGACTTAGCAAGATTAGTGTGTCCTTCTTACAGTGTTGTGATAAACTTTACTATTGAAAGACTGAAATAATACATTAATGTAACTTTCCTTCTTTTCTCTTTTTTTTTCTCCCCTACTTTTCTTTTCCAGTTTGTATAGTTTTCTTCTCTTGAATGCATATTTCTGCCATTTTTGAATTTTTTTCTTTCATGTCCATGTCTTCTATTTAGCAGGCACACATCGCTATCTGAGAATGTAGCAGAAGCTTGGCCATGGTTTTCTACATTAAAAAGAGAAAAAAACCTCTGCCATCAAGTCTCCTACTCATAGCAACCCTTTAGGATGGAGTGGAACTAGCTCATAGGGTTTGCAAGGCTGTAAATCTTCACAGAAACACACTGTCTCTGATGGAGCAGTGGTGGGTTCGAACCAACCTTTTGGTTAACAGCCAAATGCTTAACAACAGTTCCACCAAAACTCCCCTTTTATATTTAAGACTCAAGCTTTAGTCTGCCAGAGAAGCAGGTCAGGCAGTGTGAGGAGCTAGAGTGTGAGGAGCTAGAGTGTGAGGAGCTAGAGTGTGGTTCGTTGTTCCTGTGGCTGAATGTTATGAAGCAGATTCCAACGCATCTGACCCATCTCATGTGACAGAGCACATTGCTCCATGGGGTTTTCTAGGATGGAAGGTTTATGGGAACAGATCTCCAAGTCTTTCTCCTGCGGAGCCTTCAGGTACATTCAAACCATTAACCTTTTTCTTAGCAGTCGAGAGCTTAACCATCTGTACCACCAATGCCAAACCAAACTCACTGCCATCAAATAGATTCTGACTCGTGGTAACACCACCACCCCCCATTGGGTTTCGAAGGCTATAAATCTTTACAGAAGCAGACTGCCTCATCTTTCTTCCACAGAGTAGCTGGTGGGTTTGAACTACCAACTTTTTGGTTACCAGCTGTGGTAGTTCAGTTTGTGTGTCAACTTGGCTGGGCCTGGTTGAGTGGCTGGGCAACTGGATGTAGTATATCCCCATGATGAGACTGGTAATCAGTTCCATGGTAGGATCTACTATAAGCAGCTCAGTAGCTGCCTTTGGGTATGTGGTCTTCTTCCCATGTATAAGTAGCAGCTTTGGGAATGGTCTCTAGCTTATGGCACACTTGGACTCTGCATGTAGCTGTGTCGTTGTTCAGCATCCTGCCATGCTCTGCTGACCTTGGGACTTAAAATAGACTTAAATTAATGGCCTGCATGTGGTTTGGTAACATTGGGACTGTGCCTTTTTACTTGTCAACCTTGGGGCTTCTCAGCCAAAGCAGCCAGCAGCTGTCTGAGTGAAGAAACTCCTCTAGCTCCAGTGGGCCAGGAACAGGAGGCAGAGCTGGATCCCAAAGTTGAGGGGCTTTCACCCAGCCCCTAGAGCCTGGCCCTTTGAACTCAGACTTAAAGCCTCCGAACTGTAAGAGAAGAAACTCCTGTTTGTTAAGGCCATCTCATTTGTGGTATATTCTTGTCAGAGTGGCGCTAGGTAGCCAGAACAGAATTTGGTACCGGGAGAGTGGGGGTGCTGCTCTGACAGATACCTGAAATGTGGAAACAGGAGTGGAGTGCGTCCTTGACTCAAGACCCCGGCAGAGAGACCCCAGCACATGGCATGACAGACATCAAGAGCAGTGCAAGAGACTGGCATGAGAGATGGCAGGAGTAGAGCCCAGAGACCGGCATGAGAGACGGCAGTAGCAGAGCAGAGAGAGCCAGCATGAGACAGCGACAGCCTTACCAGCCCACGGAGGAGAAAGCATGATGCTTTGGTTAGGTGGCTTCCTGGTGGAGTGGGTTGCCTTTGGATATTAATTTATAGAAAAGGCCAGCATAAAATGGAATAGCAGGTTAGCTGGCCCATGGAGCAAAAAAGCTAAGTGCTTTGGCGGCAGGAAGATTTCTGGCAGAGTGGGTTGCCTTCAGCATTAATCGGCAGAAGTGGAGAGACCAAGGAAATGGAAGCAGAGCTGCTAGGACCATAGCATTTTGGGGTGGAACCATCACAGCCCCCTAGGTTTCAAAGAGCCAGGCCTTCACCAACTTGGTTCTGGAGTGTGGGGCTGCTCGTTCATGTGGGCCAGTGGAATGGAGCCATAGCCGCTGCCCAAGAGTGAGGGGCCGGGGCTGCCATGCCCAAGAGGGAGAGGAACGGAGCCTGCCAGGCCAAGGGGGTGAGGTTGCCACTTAGAGGAACTAGGGGACTGGAGCCACCCAGTGAGAGAGATCTGTGCAGATTCTACCCAATGGAGATCTGTACAGATGCCACGTTGACAAGAGGTGGAATTGTGGTAGTTCAGTTTGTGTGTCAACTTGGCTGGGCCTGGTTGAGTGGCTGGGCAGCTGGATGTAATATTCCCCATGATGAGACTGGTAATCAACTCCATGGTGGGATCTACCACAAGCAGCTGAGTAGCTACCTTTGGGTATGCGGTCTGCTTCCCATATATAAGTAGCAGCTTTGGGAACGGTCTCTAGCTTATGGCACACTTGGACCCTGCATGTAGCCGTGCCATTGTTCAGCATCCTGCCATGCTCTGCTGACTTTGGGACTTAAAATGGACTTAAATTAATGGTCTGCCGTGTGGTTTGGTAACCTCGGGACTGTGCCTTTTTTACTTGTCAACCTGGAGTTTGTCAGCCTCAGCAGCCAGTACCTGTCTGAGTGAAGAACCGCCTCTAGCTCCAGTGGGCTGGGAGTAGGAGACAGAGCTGGACCCCAAAGTTGAGGGACTTTCACCCAGCCCCTAGAGCCTGGCACTTTGAACTCAGACTTAAAGCCTCTGAACTGTGAGAGAATAAACTCCTGTTTGTTAAGGTCATCCCATTTGTGGTATATTCTTGTCAGAGTGGTGCTAGGTAGCCAGAACACCAGCCAAATGCCTTAACCACTACATCCTCAGAGTTCCTTTTTGCATCACCAGGGCTCCTTAAGTGTGGATCCAACAACTCTATGCCAACGCCAGTTTCTCAGTTGTCACCAATCCTTTGTGCTTGATGACCAACCTGGGTGTTCACAGTTTGAATCCACCCAGCAGTGCTCGGAAGGCAGGCCTGGGATCTGCTTCCGTAACTGTGGCTGCCAAGCAATCGCCATGGAGCAGCTTTTCTATGTATTGCATGGGGTCACGATAAGTCAGAATCAAGTCAACAGCAATGGTTTGTTTGTTTGTTTTCCTATATAACAGTGTCATTTTGTGGTTCCATCCACCTCATTATTTTACAACATTGTATGCAATCACAGCAACATAACTGGCTGGTTCCATCTGGCAGGACCACAAACCTTGATAAAATTTATTGTAATTTTTGAGAAGTTTTTTCCTTGGACCAAAGTGTGAAATTCAAGTCAGCTTGCTCAAGTCAGTGACTGGATACAACCTTTATTTTGTTTAAAAAAGTTTGAATATTTTTCCAGTCTTTTTGAGGTGAT